TTCCCTCCAATTGGAATTCCTAGATATTTAAGTGGGAATTCTCCTTGTGTGCAACATAGTCTATAAGCCATTCTTGCTGTCCAACTATCTTCAACTCCCATCCCCATCAGCTGACTTTTCGCAAAATTAATTTTTAACCTGGAAGCCAACTCGAAAGTCCTCATAATCCCTTTGACCACCTTAATGTTTTCATCGGAAGCCTCCCCGAAGAAGATAGTATCGTCCGCAAACTGTAAATGTGTGACCGTTGTATCTCTTTTTCCCACCATAACACCCTTGTAAAGATTCTTTTCTACTGCTGCTGATACTAATCCATTCAATCCTTTTGCCACAATCAAAAATAAGAAGGGGGATAACGGATCTCCTTGTCGTATGCCTTTGCTTACCGTAAACTCTTTTGTTGGGCTTCCATTAATAAGAACAGGCACTGAGCTTGATCTTAGACATTCCTGAATCCACTTCCTCCATTTTTTCGAGAATCCCATTCTCATCATCATGTAATTAATAAAGCTCCAGCACACTTTATCATATGCTTTTTCGAAGTCGGCCTTAAACAGAAAACTTTTTTTCCTCTTCCTCTTGGCCTCATCAATGACTTCATTTGCAATCACCACTCCATCAGCTAATTGTCTACCTTCAATGAATGCCATCTGTTGTTCCCCAATGACCTTTGGCAGCACCTTTCGCAATCGATTTGCTAGCAATTTTGTGATGATTTTATACATGATCCCGATGAGGGAAATGGGTCTATAGTCCTCAATTCCTTGTGGATTTTCTTTCTTTGGGATTAAAACAATGAAGGATGCGTTGGATCCCCTTGCAAGACTACCTTGTTCCCAAAAATCCTGCACAAAGTCAATCACCTCCACCTTTATGACTTCCCACATGTTCTTCACAAATCCGAAATTGAAACCATCTGGGCCTGGGGATTTGGAAGAGCAGTAGTCCCAAATTGCTTCTTTAATCTCCTTTTCCTCAAAATCAACCACTAGCAACTCATTTTCGGCTTGTGAAATTTGATTAACTCTAATCCCATCAAGCTTTGGTCTTTGCCATGCCTCTTCTGAAAATAATTCTTTAAAATACTTAGCCACTTCTTCCTTTATTTCCTTCACACCCGTGTAAAGTTCCCCGTTGATCCGAATACAATTAATTTCATTCCTTCTCCATCTTCCCTTGACACATCGATGGAAAAAACTTGTATTCGCATCCCCTTCCTTGAACCACATCCTCCTTGCCTTCTGCTGCCACATCCTCTCCTTAATTCTTAGATTTTTCCATATAACCATAAAGCTTCCCCTCCTCCTTTCGACATCTTCTGCAATCAGTTGGCTATTCTCTCCTTTCTCATCAATTTCAGCTATCACTGCTTCTGCTTCTTTTACTTTGGCATCCACGTCTTGAGCTAGGTTCCGGCTCCATTCTTTTAATGCTTTCTTTGTACTTTTCAATTTCTCTTTAAGTATGAAGCCTTTCTGCCCCTGGACGTCGCTGGTTTTCCACACTCTTGTGATTAACTCCTTGCATCCAGGTTTATCAAACCATGCATCAAAAAACTTGAACGGTTTTGGGCCCCAATCAATCTTCTCATTCTTGAGTAAAATGGGGCAGTGATCCGATACTGATCTTCTCAACCCCCACTGTTTAACATCACCCCATTTGGCAACCCAATCTTCTGATAACAAAAATCTATCAATTCTACTCATATACTGGCCATTAGAGTTATACCATGTATACTTCCTACCAAGCAAAGGCAGATCAATCAAAGCAGCATTAATTATAAAATTGTCAAATTCCCGCATTTCACTACTGATCCCCGTCTCCCCTGCTCGTTCCTCTATTCCCCTCACTGCATTGAAATCCCCCATTAAACACCACTTCCCTCTTTTACTGTTCAACAGGCCCTGTAAATCATCCCATAACATTCTTTTACCCATCAATTGGCACGGGGAATAAATGTTTAGTATATTTACAGGAATCCTCTCCTCTCCCCACAACCCAGATATCCCGATGAAGTTATTCCCCTCAATTACCTCCATTTTCTAAAGCACCTTAGCATTCCAAATGCATAATAGACCTCCGGACCTACCCACAGATGGCTTAGCTACCCAATCAAAGTCATCTGTTCCCCATATTATTATACAAATCTTCCTGTCCACTGTCACTAATTTAGTCTCTTGAATTGCTATGAAATCTACTTTCTCCTTCATCACAATTTCTCTGATCTGTCTTTTCTTACCATCCCCTCCCATTCCTCTAATATTATAAGACAATAGAATCATAGAGGTTCATTGCTTACCTTCTTGGCACCTCCGGTTTCCGGATTGGTCCTTTCCCCTTTCATGCGGTTGTTTCTCCTCTCCATTTCCTCGATTTTCTACAGGACATCGGGATCATTTTCTGCATTCGCGCCCAGCTGCTTCGCAAGATCCCATATCTCCCTTGCTACCTGGCTTTGCAACTGATTCTTAGTGGATCTGTTGCAATTCAGGATACCACTGTCACCAACCGAACCCCCTGCTACTTTCCCGTTTGGATTTGGCATAAATTCAGGAGATTTTGTTCCTGTTGTCCTCTGCATGTTCCTTTTTTTCCCATCGATCTTTCTTCTTGAGCCCCGCCCGACCTCCTTTGTGCACCGGTACACCGAACTGCACTATCTAGCCTTCCTTCTTTTACCCTTCGCTGATTCCATTATCTGCTTGTTAATCCACGCCTCCACCCGTCCCTTATCTTTTTCGAAGCCTCTCCAGAACACCTCCTCCCCGTCTTCTTCAATTTCATCCTCTGCCATTTCCATACTTCCATAATTATCCTTATTGAAAGTTGGGTCTGCCAAATTTTCCTCTCTTCTAACTTGGGCCAAGCCCATGTTAATGGATTCTTGAAACTGAAGGCTTGCTTCTTGAGTATTGGGCTCTTTAAAAGAGTTCCTTGTGGGTATGTTCTTGAGGCCCATTTGAATCCCATCCACTATACCGGCCTGATAAACTGATTCAATGACTTCATTCTCTTTTTCTAGACAATTGCTCGTTGCTCTGTTTCTTTCACCATTCAAAATTTGAATTTGTATTTGAGATTGAGACGGGTTGCCAGCTGTTGCTTCCCCTAACTTCTCCTCCTCCTTTGTAGGCTGGTCCTGATCTATTCCTTCCCACGCCACGTCATCATCTTTTTCATGGGTATGTTTTTCATGACAGAGAACATCATCCTCTGCCTTGTGACATTCCTGCGTCTCCATTACAGTGCCGATCGACCAAGACTCACAATCCTCCTCATCACTTTGGAAAGAAGGCAAGAAATCTTGTTTAAGAGAGAAGAAGCAATTAGAGACTTCCTCCTCTGAGAATTTCAGATTGTACAGGTTCCCATTGATTTTAACTTGCCGTGAAACTTTGATTGTGTCCATGATCTGAGTGGATATCAAGAATCTTGCTATATCAAAACGTCTTCTTTTGCTAGTGTTATCATCCAAGCATATGAATTTTCCCCATGAGCACCCCATTTTTTCGAAGAATTCAGTGCTCCAAGCATTCAATGGAACCCCTTGGCATCTAATCCATACAAACCTCTCCTTGGCCACCATTTCGGGTTTCCAAGGTCGCATCTCTTCGAACCATTGTCCTAACCAGTCTGCAGCTAATTCCACCAAGTCCTTCAATTCTTCCTTATCCTCGCAATCTAACAGCACCATTCTACCTCCCATGGCTCGAATCTGGCATGAAAAATAGCCTTCCATATAGAATTTCTCTTGTAAGTTGTGAACCATCTCCACAGAATGAACCAATCCCACAAAGCATCCCTCCAGCCATGCATAATCTTCCGGTTTGGCATTATATTCTATTCCCACCCAGCTTTTTCCCATTCCTTTTTCTTGCCAAATTGTTCTAGCTTCTTCA